GATTTGGGTGAGGACATAGCCAAACCATATCAGTCTTCATTAAAAAAAAATTCTTTAAGTGCCCTGTAAAAGCATCACGTAGTCTAGTCTCATAATAATTCTCCCATGTGGAGACCCAGGATTCAGTGTGGGCTCTGTCCAAAGTTCAGAGATCCAGTTAAGAATATAGGTAGTCTTTAAACAAAAGTTGTCTCCTTATACAATCCTATGATAGATTTCTATACATTTTATGTTTGATTTGGCATGCATCTTCAGTCTCCCCCTAGCACCACCAGACTTTTTCTCTCTCTACCTTGAGATGTAAAGTTTTCTATCTGATTTTTCATCTAAGAGTCATTTGCTTCAATATGCAGATTTAGGGCTATTTAGTTGACAATAGCCAGGGCAATAAAACAGGTTATCAAGAGTTTACAAGTCTAAGCTGGGGAGAAAAAGGAAGTCTTAGGAACCTACAAGATGTACATCTATTGGTATGCCTAATATGACTACTCATTTGTTGTATACACAACATTTCACTACTGAAAATATATAAAAGAGCTCTGCTTAATTGGCTTAAGAAAATAAAAGCACTTGAATCAAATACTATGTCAGGAAAAAAGAAAATACTAATCAAATGCTTTTTGAAGTTTATGTAACTTAGGTAAAATCTTTAACAAATAAGCTAGCTCTAAAATTATTGGTAAAGTAATATTAGCAATGTCTTGAGAACTGCCAGCATACATTTTTATTTGCATTTATTAAGCAATTTCATAGTTCTTCCTGCCAAATACTATAAGGTGTCAAAATTTGGCATAGAGGTTACAGAACTATAAGCCAAGCCCAAAACGATGATTTTTGCTTGTGTAATTTTTAATAAGACATTGATATTGATTTAATAAAAAATAGCTGCATCTTGAATTTAGTAAGATTACCATAACTTCTAATCTTGTGGTTTAGGTGGTTTAGTCCATAGCCAGTAGGGTTTGTTAACATCTTTGTTTCAAAGCTAAATGATAAACTAAGTTCCTCCTAAGTTAGTTTGACCTACACCCAGGAATGAAAAAGGACAGCTTGGAGGTTTAAGGCAAGATGGAGTCAGGTTAAATCTTTTCCACTGTGTTAGTGATAATTTTGCAGTGGCAGTTCTATAATTTTAAATAATGACTGTTGTAGTTTTCATAGATAATTGAGGTGAACAATTAAAATAATTAGGTAAATGTAATGGGATAAATAATTGTAGGCAAATTCATCTAAAGTGAAATTAAATAGTAGATATTTCATTATTTGTGTATTTTCCAATAAAAATATATTTATAGGAAAACAATCTTTCTAAAAAAAAAGCGTGTCTTTTTAAAAAAAGGGGAGCAATCTTTGTCTCATTCAAAGCTTATTTAAAGATCATGTATAAAACAAGGTAAAAGAAACCAAAAGACAAGAGATGTAAAGAAAGTTATAAAAATAAAAAGGTTTTTATTTGGTAAGAAGCCTTAAAGAGAAATAATTTTATATGAGAAAGAGTCCCGTATGGTCAATTTAGTCCTATAGTAAAATGACTACTGGTTAAAAAAGAGGGTTATTCAGATCAAACCCGAAAGTCCAAGCATGTCATGAATGGTCCGTGTAAATCACAATAAGGATGTATTTTTAAAAATTTTTTTAAAAATTGCATTTTAGGTTTTGGGGTACATGTGAAGGACATGCAAGATTGTTGCATAGGTACACACATGGCAGTGTGATTTGCTGCCTTCCTCCCCATCACC